TATATGTGTGTGTGTGTGTGCACAGATAGATAGTATAGAACAGAATACAAAAACTTTGCATTTCAGCCTGAGAATATGATGTATTATATTCATATTTGAAATTAATATAAACTACCTGAGAAAAATATCACACAATACCATAAAATTCAGCATATGAAACTCTTCAGTTTTAAAAGATTAAGTCATGGCTACCCTTGTCTGTTAACTGTTATTCAGTCATTAATCCTTTGTCACCTTGGGTAATTTATAACAGAATCCAGAAAGTCAGTTAAACATTTATTTCCATTTCATGTTCTCTGTAGCTTTATTTAAGGCATATCATTTACTAGTCTTTATTTTTAGGTACAAATTTTTCTTCTATTTTTAGAAATAAAGATAAATATAATTTAAAATACTTTGGGGACTGGGCGCGGTGGCTCATGCCTGCAATCCCAGCACTTTGGGAGGCCGAAGTAGGTGGATCACCTGAGGTCAGGAGATAAAGACCAGCCTGACTAATATGGTGAAACTCCGTCTCTACTAAAAACACAAAAAGTAGCCAGGCGTGGTGGCATGCGCCTGTAGTCCCAGCTACTCAAGAGGCTGAGACAAGAGAATTGCTTGAACCCAGGAGGCGGAGGTTGCAGTGAGCCAAGATCACACCACTGCACTCCAGCCTGGGCGATAGAGCGAGACTCCATCTCAAAAATAAAATAAAGTAAAAAATAAAATAATTTGGTATGAATATTGCAAAAATAGCAAATAATCCTCTTTAAACAATGGTTACTAGTCATCTTCTAGCTAGCATAGAGTTGTCCTTTTGCTGGTAAAATTGCTTTAAGTTTTCCCAGAGAGCCATGTCTTTCACAGTCTCAGTTCTAATATTCCTTATCTAAACTACATTCTGAATTGCAAAAACACTTGCAAGCCTGCCTTATATTTTGTTATACTATGTAGTTTAAACATGTTATATAACATCCATCTAATGCAGACATTGATTTTTAAACAATACAAAATGAAATTGATCAAAAAAAGAAGTTCAGAGCTAAGCATAGAAACAGAATTAGCACAATAATGATTAGGAATTCAAGTCTTTCTGCCATGTTAATGACCTTGGTCTATTTATTTAGCTTCCTTCTCACATCTGTTAAACTGGCTATAATACCTACTTTAGGAAGTTGTTATTAGGATAAATGAGATAATAAATATGAAGTATTTAGCAGTGTGCCAGACACATGGTAGGTGATCTACAAATTATATCTAATAATAATGTTGTTGAATTATAATAAAAATGTATTTTTCTTGCTATTTTATAATTTTCTTTTTCTAGAATATGTTTAGGGTAGTAATAGATAATATTGTGTTTTAAAATATAAATTATAATAATATAATATCTCACATGATTTCACTTAATGAGTAGCATTGACCAAATTCAGCTTTTATAAGATACGTTAAATAACTTCCCTGGAACTGCTAATGTGGTTTCCTGCAGTAACTTGATGTATGATGCAGTAATGAGCATAGAATTAGCATGTAAAACAAGGCCATTTTATACCCCTTCTAATTGCCTTATTTAGTTAAGTGCCAAATGCTACAATATAAAGGTTCTAGTATACTATCTCTAAAACAGGAAGCAAAGTTCTAATGGGATTTCTTTTCTAATTCTATTTTTTAAGATCTTTAATCTATTAAGTCCTGATAGCTTTGCTGGTAAACTCAATGTGTTTTACTCACCTTTGCATTTCTAGCAGCACCTAGCACATAGCAAGCATTTGGCAAACAAAATTACTCAAGAGGAAGCTGAGAAGACATTTTTACAAGTTAATATGATGAATTTAATTGGTATTTTCTTTTCCCTAAAATGTCTACAGTCTGGTATTTCTGCCTTTCCTTTTTCCACCTCACTTCTATAAAACTACCAGTGCCTGAATAGGAGAGCTACTATTGCTCATTACAAGAGTATTGTATGAGGCCTTAAATGTTGTAAGAAATATATATATATATGAGAGAGAGAGAGCACCATTTATATGTGTCCATTACTTTCCTATTTATATATTGGACTCTTTTGAAATATGCTTCAATTTGTAGAAACCACAAAGGTTCTTTTTAACATACTGACTTTGTACCCTTCAGATTAGCATGCTATCCAAGTATCCTGTATAGAAACCTTTCAGCATTCACAATGTTATCTCCCCCACTTGAGATAAAGAGAAAATAAGAATGAAAATAGAACCACATAGGGAAGGGAAGGAATAGTTAAAAGATTTAATTCTGCCATAGTATTTTTCTTCCTGTCAAACATAGAATTTGAACTGCAGCCAGTTTTTATATGTTAAGTACTGCCATTCTGTCCTTTCTCCATGGCTACTGATGAATATTTTTAAGACAAATTTTTAAAAATACAGAGAATGGGATTCCAGGATGGGCCACATAATTTGTGAGACCTAGTGCAAAATGAAAATGCCAAGCATTTCTGCAACAGCAGAGCATAAAACCAAGTGTAGGCCCATGTGCAACTGCACAAGTCACCTTCCCACAAAGCTGGCCCTGAAGGGTTCCCTATTTCAGGGGAATGATCTTCCTGTTGGCACTTTGCCTAGCAGCTTTTCAGAGGAAATACCTTCATTGTATCTAAGAGCATTGAGACCTGAACATCAGAGAGAGTAAACAGATGTGAACTCTCCATCATGGCCATGCAGCTAGACTAACCAGTGTAATTACTGATCATTGTAAGATGGTCAGCAAGGTAATTCAATTAAGAATAATGAGATAATTCATACCATGAGTAGGATTCCAGCATTTTGAGGGTTGAGAAAGCAACAGAGGAGGAAAAAGCATTTATTGGGTGTCTTTTTTGGATAGGAACCATATTGGACTCTTTTTAATGCATTATCATGTCTTAGCCTGTCAGCCATATAAAGTAATCTTTATTAGCTCATTTCATTTTCTATCTGAGGAAGGTGAATCTCAAGGATATAAAATAACTTGTTTATAGTCACACAGCAATCATTGGCAGTGTGGCGATTGCCCACATCTGTCTTCAGATGAAGCCCATGTCCATTCCATGGGTATTGGTACCATGAGGCTGTGTGTCTATCTTTAGGGGCTGATAGACACAATAAACGTACAGACTTGAGAAGCAGATGCCAAAAGCACTAGCACAATTAGGGAAATTTAACATGACAGTTTCTTTAGTGTAAAGAAGCTGAGCCCAGCACAAAGTGAGGCCATGGACCAAAGACAGAACATAGTAAATAAAAAGAGAGTTCTTATTATCTTGACCAGACAGGAGAATCTGTTGTGAAGGGAAAATAAATCTCAGGATCCCCAAATCACTAAGCCAAGGGAAAAGTCAGGCTGGGAACAATGTCAGTCAAACCTGCCTCCCATTTTATTTCTAAATAAGATAGCTACAAAGATAAGAAGCTACATACCTCCCTCACAATTTGCCCACAAGGAAATACCTTGTGGACAAAGGACAGACAGAACTCAAAGTCATTCCTCTGAGGCTTACCTGAGACAAATGCATATCTGATTGCTTCCTGTGCCCTCTTTGCTTATATAAAAATGCAGATTCACTGAGCCAGACTAAATTGTGTATTCAGTGGAAGGCTGATCAAAGACTCAAAGAATGCAACCTTTTGTCTCTTATCTACTTCTAACCTGGAAGCCCCCACTTCCAGTTGTCCTGCCTTACAGGACCGAAGCAATGTACATCTTACACATATTGATATATGTCTCATGTCTCTCTAAAATTAAAGCAAGCTGAAGCATGTACCATGGGTACATGTCATCAGGACCTACTGAGGCTGTGTCATGGGCATGTCCTTAACCTTGGCAAAATAAACTTCCTAAATTGACCGAGATTTGTCCCAGATATTTTGAGTTCACACTGTCTACCTCACAGTAGACTAATAACAGTGGCTACAGAACAAACGTAACATGTTGGAGATGGATAGATGATAATACCTTGATTGCAAAATAGTAGTTCCTCCTATAGTTAGAGCAAAAAAAAAAGTTTCAGATGGTGAAAACTGGGCTTCAGTAAATACAATGAGAGTCTGTGAAGCATCTGAGGGCCAGCATATTTTAGGGCAGTATAGTTCAAGCTTCTTCATTCATGTTCCACTTTCTTCATGATTTTGCCATTTGTAAGCCTTAAAATACCATGATAGCTGTAACACATATTTTAAATTTATTATTTCATACAGTTAGCATGAATGGATTTATCCTGACAAAAGCACTAGCTTTCTGTCCTTAGTAAAGCCACTCTACTAATTGTTTAAGCTCATTTGCTCTTCAGTTCATTCAACTAATATTTATTGAATGCTTTGTATTTTCTAGGATTTGTCTACCTGATCTAGGTGGTAGGTAGAGGTGGAGGGAAAAAGATAAGAAGACAGAGATGAGTAGGGCATGGTACCTGCCTCAGAGGGATTCAGAATAAAATAGTTTCACAGTTTCAGATTGTTCATAGAATGCTGAGAAAGCAGGATTGAGATTTTGCCTGGAAGAGGTGGGAAACTTTATACAAAGTTGAGCAGGAAAGTCTAGATAAATAAGTAGGAAGAGTTTGTTAAGCATATTTGGAAGATTCATCTTTCCTGGATCTTGGCCAGACTTTTTTTAACTTTTCTGACCATGAATTAAAAGACGTCGAGATTTTTTATAGTGTTCAGTTCAATCTTATGGCTGTAATCAAGAGGTTCTCAGATTAAGTTTGTTTAACCATCATTTTTTGTAGGTATGGTAAGTCAAATAATAGAAACAGTATAACCATAACTAATGAATATTTTGGCATATAGTTCTTACATTCATAATTTAGAATATAGGTGTGTTGTGTGTAAATGTGTTTTCATTTCACCTGAATTTCTTTGTACAGATTTTACAGAATAAAATGCCAGTTACTTTCTTCTACTGTTTCTTTTATTTTTCCTTGTAAAAACATTATTACAAAAGGTGATTTATATGTTACTTACAACACGTATTTACTACAGCTATTTTTCTTTTTGTGCTACCAGTGTAAAACTCTTTCTGGAGTCTGTGACCACATCATATCCCTGTCATCAGATCCTCTGGTTTCACAGTCTGCTCACCTGGAAGTGATTCAACTAGCAAACATCAAACCAAGCGAAGGGCTGGTAAGAGATACTATGTTTATCAAAACCACCATCCATCAGTAGACAGCTAGTGATGTGGACAAAGCAGCCTCTGAATGTGGGAATCTATGAATTTCAACAGACACTGAACATTTTGGTATTTTTTTCCTAGAGGAGTTATGGTAGTGGAAGTTTGTGTTGCATAAGAAGTTTTATTAAAATAAATGAAAATGAAGGAGAGTTGAAAATGGTGACTTCTGAATTAATTTGGTACTCATTTAGCTTCAATTACATTCTTTCACCTCCCTCCCCACCAAAGTTCCTTAGGTTTAAAGGAAGTTTAAGAGTTTTATAATAAACACCACAGTGTTACCTGCTCATGAAGTAGGTGTTTTGTTTGTTTTACTTTGGTTTGTCCTGGTTTTAATAGTTATTCCTTCCCCTAGGGTGGGTTAGCTAAACAATATTCTCTGATACTCTTTATAAGTCACATTCATTCTTAGAAGAGTAAGTAAGCAAGTGGATATTGCCAACACTAGATGTCTATGAGTTGTATTTTTTATTATGTAATAATAAATATAATCGTGTTTTATATTTTGTTCACCTGATTAAAAAGTGTATTGGTTCTAGATTTAACCCAAGAGAGAGACTTTTTAAAAAATAAGTCTTAAGGAAGAAAGCATATAAAAATTGATATTGAGACAAAAAACAAGAAACTGGCTAGAAAATATCTTAACTACTACACTACTATTACATGTTGGTTTGGTGCTATAGTGTTTCCACTTTCTCCTTGTATATGAATTTACCAAGTAATGATCTTTTGGAAAATAGAAATTTTGGCAACTAGCATTAATAATTGAATTAAGATAATATATTCTTTAAGATTTCTAAGCAAGTTTAACTTATTCTGTGGCTTTTCTTTTTCATACCTCTATATAACTGTTCAGAAGGCAAAGCCTTTATTGACTACCACTGATTTTTCAGTTTGATGCCATCTCTCCTAGAGAGTAAGTTTTCTCTGGATATGTGGCAAATTAATTCTGGTTATCTGTAGTTCCTAGTGCTGTTGTGGCTTTTATGGGTGTTTTCCTGGGAAGGAATATGATGAAAATCAGCATATTAGACGTAGCATGCCATCATTGTAATCTGTAAGTGTTATATCTAATGCTGATTACATTTATGAACTTCTTTTAAGTAATGATAATCTAAAATTCTTTTTATTCCTTTTAGTTACCTCTACAAAGTCCGGTTTTATTTTAAAAACACTTCAATCTATAGCATTAAAGATGGTCCTTTCTATATGTCCCCTTTTAGTAGTTATAAGGGAAAGGAAGTCCCCTAAGCATGATTTTTAGAGTGAAAAATTATGAACTAATACAACATTGTATTAAACTAGAAGTCAGAACACCCAGATACAAATAACTTACATAAAATATAACTACGAGAGTGATCTTGAAGAGATGGGAGAGTAAATTTAACCACCTTGGCCTTGATCTAGTCATGTAGGTGAGGGAGAGGAGGAAATCATCTTTAAAGCTCCTTCTGGCTCTTAGTCTGTGGTTCTAAAAAGAAAAAAGCCTGATTTTTTTTTCTCTAATTTCCACTGAAATCATTGGGAGAAATAACCTTATAAAGTAAGTCAAAATAATGCTAATTAATGGGCTTTATGAAATCTTGATTTTTTAAGGAAGGTATAGCCCTGGACAGGTCCTTTATTGTTTTCATTTGAAAGAGGTAGATCTGGGAACTTAAAATGCTAAGAACCAGATTCAGTTAAACAGTCTGGGAAAAAGCTAGAAAAGAAACGAATGCCCACCATTTGCCAGGTATTTTTCTCACAACTCTATAGACTAGATATTGATTTTCTCATTTTGCAAATGAGAAAATAAAATTGCACATATTCACTAGTTTGCTCTGTATCACATATAGGTAATAAATAACAGAGGCAAGGTTTAAGTCTAGGTAAATCTAAATGAAGTACATCTGAACAAAGCTTTTTTTATTATTCCACATTCAAATTTTGAATTGCTAAAGAGAGGTATGAGAAGCTTAGGAGGATGACTTTAAAACTGAAATTACTTAGAGAAATTTGTTTTTAAAGGACAATGGGCAGCACTTCACTGGGAATTGAAAGGAAGGAAAAGAAAAACCTAAAATGTTGAATATTAATAGAAAGAGTTAAGTATAAAACTATTTTTTGTGATTCATATCAAAGAGAAAGTACTAAACAGAGGAATTACATGGCTTATTCAAGGTATCGTTTTAAAACTCAGTCATGTTTAAGTAAGTTTAGTCAGTCACATTTGAAATAAGCCAATTTTAGGATTTTGATTTAGGATTTTGGTAATTAGCCATAGTAAATGTCTAAATGATAAATGAAGAAAAGAAATAGAAAGCGGTGGGAGAATACCAAGATTTAATGAAATTTAATTAGCTTAGAAATATCTGCAGAAAGTGTTCTTCCAATTTTAGGGCAGAACATGTCTCATAGGCAAAAGGTAACTGGTTCTCCTGCTGATAAACTGGATACATCGTTTATCAGCTTTCTAATTAGTCAAATCTCCTAGAATTTCTTAGGGTTGACAGTCCTAAAGCATTGTAAGGACTGGTGAGAAACAACCTTAGTTATGATTGAACCATATGAAACTTTCTTCTAAAGTGCTTTTAAAGACAATAATTAGCAGAAAATTAAAGGAAAATGAGAGCTATTGAAACAACAAAATTGGATCAGAGCCAAAACATGAGCCTAATAGAGAGGAAGGGACTGGGATCATCCTTGGGGAAGCCTCTTGGCCTCAGGGAGTTATTTTTCTATTTAGGTACTTGGACCATCTCCAAATATGCCTTATTCTACCAACTTGACTGAGAGGTTGTTTTGGCTCCTGTTGGTTAACCAACATTTGGAGACAGAATGAAGCAAATGTCATTTTGGCAACCTGAGCAGGAGAGAGGGAGCTGTGCAAGTCAGCTCTAGAATTAATTAATGGGTTTTTAAAAAGAGAGAAAAGGAGGAATGAAGGTTTTGATGAAATGGAAAGCCGTATTTGTCGTGGTTCCAGAAAAAGAGCCATTTGAATTGCATGTCCTCCTGCTGTTTGGCCCTTTTTCAGAGGTGAACAACGAATCAGATGTATTTCTGTGGACCCTTTCTTATTCAGAAGATGATTAGTTTGAAACTCAACCAAGCAACTTATTTCTTCTCTTTCTTTTGGTGCCTGACTTCTGACCATTTTTCTCGTTACTACTATGAGAGGGACATTAAAAAAGACAAGTCAATTTTGATTATTGAAAGCAGTTACAACATGGTTTATTGAGTTTATAATGAAAATATTACATAAAACAAAATATCTTTATTCTTGTGGCATTTAAAAATTTGTTTTATTTCTACCCTATTGCTTTATGTCTATATGTAGATACATCTCTAAGCATTTAAAAATTTTATTCATCTGAAAAAATTAGCTTTAATATAAATTCTGCAATGTTGTCATGATGAGATCCTCTTCCTATAACTACTAGATACTGTCTTTGGCTTAGAATTCTTGGTTAAGTTCCTGTTATTTGTAATAATTATACACAGATGAATGTAGAGTTATAGCTATGCTGTTTCCATGATTTTTTATTATCCCAATAACTACAGTGTCTTTTCTAAACATTTTTCTTTAAATATTAGGCTTTCTTTATGACCTCATCATTTATAGAATCATTTAGAACTCTTGTCAGACACCTTTAATTCGTAGTAATAGTGCACAGTATTGAAAGATACGTGGAGAAAAATATAATCAACTTCTGCTTAGTTGTCAAGATGTTGACAGCTGTTGTGAAACCTCGGTTCTTCTTAGTTTAAAAGAACTTAAGAGAAACACAGCAAAGGAGATGTAGCATAGAGCAATTTATTGCAAAGGAAAAAGAATATTGTGAAAGTTAGGTGCAGAATAGCCAGTACACCCTGAGAGAGGATTCAGAGCAGGCTGCTCCTAAGGATGAGACCACCAAGACTGGCACTAGGGAGACTCCCTTTATGGGAGTCTTACATGATTGTTTATAAGGGGATGGGAAGAGCTGTTACTAGTAAGCATGTTCTGGGTGGTCCTCTGGGTGCACGTGCACAGTAGCTGTACATGCCTGTTCATACGTTGCATGTCTCATTAACATCTTAAGTCTCCACCCAGGGGTGTGCTTTTTACTATTATAATGAGCAAAGGCTTAGTTTGAGGACAGGTAAAATCAAAATGCACATGCTCCCTCCAGGGGAAATTTCCTAGCTGTGCTTAAATGAACTTGACTACAATGTGAATTCTGAGGCTTACTGTGTTAACCATACATTCGCCACAGTTGCCAAATTCCAAGCACATGTTAATTCCTTGACTACCTATCCTGCCTGAAAGAGAGATGGGTAATTGAAATGAATTTGTAAAATGTCAATCCCAGTTATTCTTTTAGCTACATTTCACATACTACATGTTTGCTAAAGTGGTCTTAGTCTTTTAGAACAGATGTTAAAAAGTGAATGTTCGACTTTAATATCTACAGTTGTCAAATATTCTAATAAGAAAAGTTAAGGTGTACAACTCTCCTAACTGTAAATAAATCCATAAATCAGGAGCCCAGTGGTTGAGAGTGTGGACTCTGGAGTCAGACTGCCTGGGCTTGAAAGCTGGCTTCACCACCTTGGGCAGACTCCCTAGCCTCTCTGAGCCTCAATTTCCTTATCTCTAAAACAGAGATAATGATAGTTTCCACCACATAGACTATTGTGAAATAAGTACAAGACACTTAAAACAATCCCTGGTACATTGTAACAAGTAGATATTAATGATGGTGCTAGATAATGATGGATAATTGTTTTGTGTGTCCAAACAGTATACGTTGTTTTGTTCACTTTTTCCTCTTTATCCTCTCACAACCCATATATGTCAAAAACTAAAAGTTGGCCGGGCATGGTGGCTCATGTCTATAATCCCAGCACTGTGAGAGACTGAGGTGGGCAGATCACCTGAGGTCAGAAGGTCTAGACCAGCCTGGCCAAGATGGTAAAACCCCGTCTTTACTAAAAATACAAAAATTAGCTGAGCGTGGTGGCGAGTGCCTGTAATCCCAGCTACTCTGGAGGCTGAGGCAGGAGAATCACTTGAACCCAGGAGGTGGAGGTTGCAGTGAGCTGAGATCCTGCCACTGCACTCCAGCCTGGGTGACAAGAGTGAAGCTCCGTCTCAAAAAAACAAACAAAAAAACCCCACAAAAAATGTACTCTCTAGCTCTTACAAATGTGCAGTCATGTTTCATTTAATGACGGGATTCCATTCTGAGAAATGCATCCTTAGGCGATTGCATCATTGTGTGAACATCATAGAGTGTACTTACGCAAATCTAGGTAGTACAGCCTACTACAAACCTAGGCTAAATGATAGAGCCTATTGCCCCTACTCTACAAACCTGTATAGCATGTTACTGTACTGAATACTGTAGGCAATTGTAACAGTGTTAAGTATCTGTGTATCTAAACATATCTAAAAATGGAAAGGTATAATAAAAATATCATTACATAATTATTTGGGACCACCATCGTATGTATAGTTCATTATTAACCAAAACGTCATTATGCGTCATGACTGTATTTTAAGATCCTTTATTAATCTGATATAATCTTGTTAATTCCTGAATGAAAAATATTTGCGAAGATCTTGTCCTCCTCTAAGTTCTAAAATAGTATCGTTATATTTACCGATCAGTAAATGATGGCGTAAATGTTAGCTTCAAATTAAGTATGTTATATACCTGTTACCAGTGTAAGTCTGAATATTACCATGTTGTCATAGCCAAAACCTACTGGCCAATCCATTAATTAAATTCTGATTGTACTTTTGTTAAGGTTATTTGTTTTATATAAAGTGATAAGCATTCATTTTGTTTCATATTAGCAATCTAGGCTCAGCCATTTTAGACATATGATATTACTGAAATGACTTTTTAGAATTAAAGTCTACTCAGTGATTTCTCAATAGTTCCGAAATTTACTACTTATTTTTCTAATCTCTTATTTTCAGTGAAAACAGATGTATTTTCAGGTATCCAAATATATAACTAACAAAGGTATAGGAAATTAACATTGTAGCAATTGCTTCATATAAGTACTAAATGTATGCTTTTTCTGAAATGGTATTGTTGGTTGTTATTATTAAATCTATATTTCAGATTTGGAGTTAATATTAGTATTTTTATTTATGAAGTCAGTATTTTGAAACTTTTATAGGTAAAATTCGGGTAGTTTTTCCCCAAAAATGAATTTAAACTAACAATATTCCTTGGAGGGGACAAAAATTCATTAACTGAATCATCTAGTTTGTTCTGGTTTACTTAAATTATTTAATATTAAAAATGTGAATCCTTTATTGTGATTTTTTTCCTTTAAAGTTCCATCACTATCCATAATTTAAAGTTTCCATTTGCTCTTAAAGTTTATACAGTTTCAGGATTTCTGTATAATTTTTAAACTTTAATGAAGTTTTTTTCTAAAAATGGTTCTATTTAAATGGAAAGCAGAATCTTGTCCTTTTTACTGGAGGAAGGGATTGCTACAGATACACACTACCTTTTAGTTATTGATGTAGAGATTATTGGCTGTAATTATTAAAACTTTATCAATAAGAAAGGTGGAAAATACAAGATACTACAAAATAGAAGGAGAAAATTTATGTAAATTATATTTTATCACTCTTCTGGCTCCAGTTATAATTGAAGTGTCTCATAAGAAAACTACCTTCCATTGTATAATATATCAAGTATAATAAGTTAATAACATACCAATATTTTAATTTCCCATTGTAACTTTTATTTTGCCACAGAATATGTAGTATGGGTTTTTGGGGGGAGTGAGAGATGTTCTTTCTTAGGAATATTGAATTACCATGCTGCATTTTATAAGTCTCACAGGCAATTCATTTATCAAGTAGTTATTTAATTGAGATGGCTTCTTCAGACAAACTTTAGAAACCAGAATGTTCAGATAGTAATTTCTCATCAGTTTAAAGATAGCATCTGTCTTCATGGATTTATTTCTGGGGCACATGGCAGTTTTAATTTGATAGACTAATTGTTTATATAAACGAGGTTATAATGTACTTGAAAATTCTCCAATTGCTTCACTTTATTTTCTGATGCTGTCTTTTTCTTAGGGTATGTATATTAAATCTACATATGATGGCCTCCATGTAATTACTGGAACCACAGAAAATGTAAGTATTTTAACCTTTCAAATTTTTATGTGCGTTTTTCCCTTTCATTGCTAACAATTTACATATCTCACATGATTGAGGTTAACATCTAAGGATAAGGACATGAACAGATAGTAGATACAATTTAAAAGAGATACTGAGTTAGTCGTATTGGTTCTGTTCAAATTTCACTTTTTTGTTGTTTAGAATAGCTGTTTACTTAAAGTAAATCAGGTGTTTTCAGCCAGAGATTTGTCTTTGTGTTTTCTGATTCATGACAAGTTATTGTGACATCTGAAAGAATTCATTTCCATCTGTCAAATGATTTGGTTATTTAAAGAAACTAAACTCATGTAAGAAATAAATATCAGATAAGTCAGGTTTTCTGAATACTTCCAGTGTAACTCAGTTTAATTCAGTGGAAGGGCAGCATGGTAGCTGAGTGATTTTCACAGTGACATTCCTGGACACCAGTATTAGCCTCCCTTGGGAACTTGCTATATATGCAAACTGTCAGGCGCTACCCCAGACCTACGAAATCAGAAATTCTGGAGACCAGCCTATTTCTTAATAAGAGATTCTATTTTAACAAGTGAATCTGAAGCATATTTGCAAACCACCATAAGCAGTGGGTCAGAAGTCCACAGGCCTATGTCTTACAACCAGTTCTGCATCTTAATGGCAGTATAATTTTGGGCAAGACATTTAACCTCTCATTGCTTCAATTTCTTCGACTATAATTGGAAACAAATTATCTGCACTACATACCTCACTAGGTTGTAATGAAAATTAAATAAGCTAAGAAAGGCCATGCTGTAGAGAACTATCTGTGTTATAGAGAGAGAAGCATGAAGTGATCATGCTGGATGTTATTAACATGATCAGTGTGATAGAGTTGAACAGCATAATACATCATTATTCTTGCATTTGGTTATTTCAGATTTCCATTCTATTATTATATAAGCAGGTACTGAGCTTTGAATGTATTAATTTTTTTTTCTTTTAGAGATTCCGACAATTGCATGCTTATGCTGTGCTATTTTAAAGAAGACTGAGGTGGAATTAGTTTAATCTCAAATTATTATTGATCTGAACATTTTACCAGCATTTGCTTTTTGAAAATCAACCTTCTTTTCATCTAATTCCCCTATTTAATCACTTACTGATATTTTTCCCTGCTTCTTTTGGTTTCTTGTGAAAGGTGAAACACATAATATATATTTGCAGTTGGAGTGCAGGAGCAGCTTCACATTTGGTATTAAATATGAGAGTCTTAAGGGATCAAGACTATCAGTAATTTGCATATTACAAAGATTTTAACAATTTTAAATGCAGTTAAGATGCTACAAACTATATGCTTGTCATCGATTGTTCGTTCTGATTTATTTATTCATTCATTTATTCATTTGTTCATTTAACAGACCTCTGCTTCATGTCTGCTATGTTTCAGGCATGGTGCTAGGTATTGGAAGAATTTTAAAATAAACTAGTTTGGTGCCATCAAGGTGTGGAGAGCATGTGGGGGTTCATCTTTATAAACAGTGGTGTAATTTGCATGGATGGACAAAGGGAAGAATAGTAAATGCTGCCAAGTGAAATCAGAGAAAGAATCACAGAAATGGTTATTTTGAACTGTGTCTTGAAGAATTGGTAGGAATGGATCTCTCTATATTGTCTGGGGTCTGCAAAAATGTGTTGAGCACTATGTCTTGCTCATATTACTCACTAATGTTTGATGAATAGATAAGTGATCAAAATAAAGATTGAGTCCGAGAGTAGTTCAGATATGAACCATATATTAATAGTTCATCTTTGGATTCTTTTTTTTCTTAAAAATATTTAAGTATTTTTGGTAACCTCAGTCATTTATAATTAGGATATCTGTCTTGAGTCTTAGTAAAGCTGCTCACTAGAGTGGGTAAGTTATTATGCCTTGCTGTGCCCTAGTTTCTTAGTTTTCTTATATGTGAAATGAGACATTTGGACAAAACTCTATCTCTAGGATGTCTTTTAAAACTAAAAGTCTATAATTTATATGACTTATTTACTTACCTGTGCAAAATGTTTCAGTTTCTTTGAATTTTATGTACTATCATTTTCTTCTACATAATGACTAGAGCCATTTGCTGGATACTTTTTCTATACTTTCCTTTAAAAAGATCAGTTGTGAACTAAATACCACAGGAACCAACTATAGTTACAAATATATTAATGATTTACAGTCTTTTCAGAATTGTTTCATGATACTTGTCTGACTTGGTAATATGTCCACCTCCTAAAGGTGCTGTGAGATAAAAATATTATTGTTATGACACTATTCTTAAGAGTTTTTATTGTAGATTAATCTGTCCCCTTAATAATGTACTTGTGTTATTACTTCAGTAACTAGAACTCCCTGGCATGTTGTCTTATCTTGAATTATAGCCTATGACAAATATTTTTATTGAATTTTAAAAATGTGTTGAATGGAGGTTAACATTGTTTTAAGACTTATATGTTTTAAAAATAATTGGAAATGAATAAAAAAGTAACTGGAAATCACTTTTAAAGTATGTCCTACTCCAGCGTCTCAAAAGTAGCATTTTACTTTGCAGATTATATTACCATATTATTTTTCTTTAGCTTTCAGTAGATAATAATGAAGAGTATCACAGCATTTATGGTTGTGTTTGATAGATAAACACGTGCACATCTATCTAGACAAATACATTTTTATAAAAATAGATTTTGTGTATGTTCAAAAGCATATTAAAATGCATGTAATCAATAATTAGTAGCTAACAGAAGAAAAATATAATATTTTAAATTCATTACTCAGACCTGCAATATAAAATTTCTATCTTAAATCTCATTTTAATTTCCTAAAAACTCCTTAAAACTTGTCAGTATTAGCTTATCAGGTTGTTCTTTTGTTTGTTTTTGTTTTTAATCCCTTATGGGAATAAAGGAAAAAAGTGTTAGATTATTACATTCTATAGGAATATTAGTTTATTGAATGTGGTTTTACTGTCCAGTGTATTACACTATATGTAACATGAGAAATAGCATCCTCTTATAAGTAGACACTTAGAATGTTATGTAATATGATTTGAACTAATTGCTGTCCATCTTTTAATTTGCTTTGCTAGATTATTGAGAATTGGTGTTACTGATGAAATAAATTAGCAATTTAATTATCAAACTTCAAATATTTGATGCTGATCATATTCATGTACTTGAAAATATCGATTTGTTGAAGTTAATGTGAATTATTTATATCAAATGGAAAGGATCAAAATACAAAAAGATACAATTTTTTGAAATGCATTTTTGAAGCAGTTACTCACTAGAACCTAGGAGAGTTGCTTGTATAAAGTTTACAAAAGTTAATACCAATTATCATTTTTTCATAATGCTCTCAGAAACGTGTTATTCTTTTATAACAAATATCTGTATGTTATTTTGCATTTCTGGTTGTTGTCATTAGCTATGCATAGGATGCAAACTATTTTTTATTAATTTTTTCTTTCTGTATTTATTAATTTAACTGGCTCAGAAGGTAAAAACAGTGTATTAAATACTAATAATCATTTTTATTAGTTTGATTCCTTGAAATTTTTAATTAATTTTTAAATCTAATTTATGGAGATGAACTTTTTGTAGTGTTTCCAGAGACAGGAAATGACTGATAAAATTTATGTTCTTTATCATTTCTTTTATATTAAATTCAGTCACCTGCAGATCGGTGCAAGAAAATCCATGCTGGCGATGAAGTGATTCAAGTTAATCATCAGACTGTGGTATGTATAATTACCTTAAGAGTCAGTGGGAGGAACTAATTTTGATTTGCTAAAGCTTTAAAAGAATGCCAATGAAATGAAATTCCTGTTTGTATACAAAATATTGAACAACCTTTTGAAAAAAATAACTGAATATTGATTCTTCTTAATTATTTGATGGAATGTAAAGCATTTTTTTAAAAGAACATGAAGAGGATTGGTGATGGTTGAGGTTATATATACATTTCTGTATGGACAAGTACTAGGTAATAGTACATATTCCATGAACTGGAATAACAATTTTAGAATAGAAATTAAAGTGACAGTGTATATAATAAATTCAACCTTTTCTTGATACAACTTTTTAAAAGTTTCACTTTATAAATTATTGAATTACCTAGTAGATGTTTTATAACAGCATGCATCCATTTATCTAACATTGACTCAAAGTTCATTAAAGTATCTGGTGGTTTTGGGGGGAGTATTTTAAATGTAGATCTTTTAAAATTTTTAAATTTTTAATAGCTGAATTAGCTTCTTATTTCCTAAAAGAGGACAGCAGTTTTAGTTTTAAAAAATATTCTTGCCCTATGAACCTCACAAATCCCTTTGTTATCTACCCTTAAAAATCTACAATAGGCACAGAATCCCACTGTCATTTTTTGTGATAGTGGGATTCTGTGCCTATTGTAGATTTTTAAGGGTTATTTTTCTTAATCTTAGATTTAGAAAATGAACATTATATGCTTTTCATTTTGGACTATTTTATATGTCTCAGTTGATTCACTTTTTTCCACTCTCTCTGCCAAATAAAGTATATTTGTTATCTTAAAAAGTTAAAATAATCTAGAATTATTAATATCATAACTCATTTGAAAAAATGCAGATTTTTTATTAGTATTCTATTCCTTCTCACTAACTCATCAGAGTGAGTAATTATTTCCTATTACACAATTTAACTAAATTTGCTCTTGCATGTCCTAGTGATGGAAGAAAATTTGTGAAAAGTCTGATTTTTCTCAATGATTCTAATCATAAGGCAAATGACATTTCAATTTTTGTTTTGAATAATTTGAGAAGTTTGTGGTATTTTGGAAAGGCTTCTAAACTCTGATAATTAAAGCCATGATATCTCCAAGTTCATTATCTAAGTGAAGCAAAAGTTGGTAAACATTTTCAAAATTAAATGCGTGGGTGCACCTTTGACACTGAATAATAGAGTGTTGGTAGTAGACAAAGCCTTTCCACACTGTGACAGTTTTGATGGCTTTCTTTTCTGATTACTAGAAACTGTACAAAGTGGTTGTTCTGATTGAAGTTTCCTGTCCCATAGGATGAGGATTTGGGCAGTGGGATAAAGCAGCTGCTTCAGTAGACGAGTAGCTTTTCCCTCTTTAATGTTCATGTGACCTTAACAAACATGACATCTGTTCAGTAGTTGCAGCATGCATTTCCAGATGGTCAGTAAGAAGATAGATATTAGTCTCTAATAAAAATAAAATTATTTAAAGGATATTGTTTGTGGAACAAAGATACTGGTGTTTATGAAATGAATATGAAAGCCTTTAAAAGTCTACAAATAAACTAATAAAATCTATGTGGATTGGTGACATTTAATACACCTAGAATGTGTAAATGCTTCTTTACATCACAGGAATATTCTAAAATATTGAAAACTACATAGAATGATGTTTGGGGAAACTTGGTTCCAGTTCTTGCTCTGAAATTGACTTATGGCTTTAAGTGAGTCATGGTAACTGCATCTGTTTACCTTTTTCTAATGATAATAACCATAGCTAACACTTATTGTGTTCTTACAGTGTGCCAAGCATCATGGTGAAGTATTTTACATATTTTATTTCATTTAGTCTATGCAATAATCCTGCAAATAAGGTATATATAGAAATTGAGACTCAGAATAATTATTCAGCTCACCCAAAACTCAAAGCTCTTTGACTCTAAGACCCATATTCTTACTTCAATTTTATTATACTTCCTCCCAAAACTCAAAAATTGTGTAACTATCCAATAAAAGAGGAAGAATCCTAACAAGCATGTAAGTAAATCTCAGGATTCAATGAAAGATTAAGTGGGGCCAAGGGTAAGAGAAGAAGAAAGGAAGTGAGAATTTATGTAGCTGGGCTAGCGAGCCAGCTGAACTGAAATTAGAAATAGGGTTGAAACTTAACTTTACTGCCACTTCCTCACTCTGCTTCTTTCACTCAGATAAGTAAGATATGTAAAACACCTATCATAATGTCGGGCACACATTAGGAGCTCAATAACAATTAACTTTCCTACCTCCTTTCTTCTCTTTTACCTGCTACAGCAGTTGGACCAATTCGAATCCTCTTTCTTGGCATACTGCTGCTACAGCCAACAAATTGATTTTGGAATGTAACAGAGACAGGATAGTATGTTGAATTTCATGAAAGTAGCCTTTTTTAATAATATGATCAGTTACCAGGTTTTTTTTGTGTTCAAGTAGAGGCATATTTGGGCAAAACCGATGCATTTCACTAAATGTAGCCTACTCTGCTCTCTTTTTCTTGATGTTACCTGTATTGTGATCTGTACAATGCATTTAATCTCTTATTAGACAATATACAGAGGTGGTGAAATGGAAATTCTCTTAATTGAAACAAGTATAAATTATTTATAGTCTGCAATTATCCCTTCTCTCCCTACATTCATTACCATAGGGTTTGGTTATGATATAATAGTTACATTAAAGTATGGCCTAATAAATTTGAAATACATAATTAATATTAATTATCTAATCCATTAATTGACTAGAATAGTGAGATTGCCAGTATTGTTCCATACCAATTTAGACTCATTAATGAAAAGAACAATGTTAAATCTTATAATTTTGGATGATACTAACCCAGTTAGTATTTTTCTGTAATTCTAAAATTTCCTATGACTATAGGTAGTAATGTAAAATATAAAATGTGATATTTTTCTTTACTTGAGATAAATACAAAAATTATTTTAAATATTTCCCTAAGAGTCTGAGAAAGTTAAATAAATCAGATGAATTCAAATACTATTTTTTTACATTGCTAGTATGGTATATCTTCAAGATGTCTAATTAGATGTCTATGTTTCTAGTTTGCTCCTTTTTTAAAAGTATTTTCTTATTTGAAATGAAACTGGAAGTTTTATGTCCTTTTTCATGTTGCTATATTCTTTATTATAAGTGGCTTTTAAGTTTTTCAAACCAACATACTTCTATGGCTGAGAAACTGTGGCTGCCAGATAGGAAGAAGAAAAAATCATGAACATCCAAGCAAAGCAGACTGAGTCTTATTACATGTCTTCCCCACCATTGAAGATCCAACTCCTCAAAGGCTGCTGGAATCTCCCAAGATTTTTTCCACTTCATCTGCCACTACATCCCTCTCTCTGGGAGATACCTCGGCATAGTTTGATGCAGCAACTCTGCCCTCATGATGCACTTTTAACACATTTTTTTTTTTAGCTGATGAGACTACTTATAGTTATTAAAAATATTGGGGAATATTTATAATCTGTTCAATTTCATGTTAATACACTTTTTGGTGTGCAAGGGTTCTAAAGATTCTATCCATACTAAAAACAGTCTCTTAGTAATATCACTTGAAAAGAGTGGCATATATGATGGTTGAATCTATTAATAACATTTGGAAATTTTTCCTTTTATTTTGTATAAATATTAAAACTTATTCACTGTTATTTTGAAAGGTATTCTGGAACCTGACGACTACATTATGGCAAGAAATGGTTCAATAGATGAGGCTATAAAGGATACTGGAATGGAAAATAACCAGGTTGGGATAGTCAAGAAGAAGATAGACTGCAGCAAATAGGATATTCTACATTGATTAGTGAGAGATGGAAGATAAGTACTATAAGCTAGTGGTTTTTGCTACCTCCAAAATGATAAACATAGTTGAGCAAGGCTAGGGATGGCAGAAAGTGTGGGAGGAGGGAACAGATTGAAGGACTATCTCAAAACTTCATCTAACTTCATTTATGTGTCTCCCTTACTCTCACTCTTGTCTCTCATTTTGGACTCTGTCCTCACTCTCTTGTTCCTTCAACCCCAGAACAACAGGAGAATATTGTTCAAAGGAGAAGCCAACATAATCAGAATGAATGGAGAGTGTGGTAACCCCTTAATGTTCATCTCTCCTTTTCCCTCCATCTCAGTTTACCTCCTTCCCTGGACTTCAGCAGAAATGAATGAGTCATTGAGTGGAATCAATACCATGATGATGTCTTAACAGCAGATGTACTTACTTTCTCTTTTTAATTTGCTAAATTGTTGTCTTTATTTTTTTGATTTTCTTCTAATTCCACTTTCTTTTCTTTATCATTCTCATCTCTTCTCACTGGACTATTTCTCCTCCACTCTTCATCTCATTAAGTTTTATTTATTCTTGCTTATTCTGTTCTGCTTTCTCAGAGTAGAAAGTATTTATCATATAATTCCATACACCTAAGGTATTGAAAAATGAGACCACAAGGGGCAGTATTTCTGGTGTACCCCACATCTTATTCCTGTAAACACACATGTTTATGGACTACAGAGATTAATTATGTTAGCATGGTGTTTAACATATTGCCTAATAAATAATGGGTTCTTATAATAGCCTAAAATAACTGTGTTAGAATTCTATGAAATCGGTATTCTAAAATAGAACAAGTGAATCATTCTCTTTTGGAAGGGGGAAAAATTATGAAGAGACATTTACCAGAAATTAAGGAAACAATACATCAGTGATTTCAGTTACTCATAATAATATTTTCTTTCAGATTCTACCATATATAGTAGATAGTTTATGAGAGCTTCATAGATTGTTTTTCTTTTATTTCACATTGAACATTATGGATTTGATGAGAATGTGTGGAAACTGGTTTTGAAGTGATACATGTTGATATAAACTGTATTTTTATTTTGTACAGAGAAATCAATTTATTACTTTATCATCCAATATATTTCATGTTTCTGTCATCAAACTAAAATTTATTATCTT